AAAAAAAAAAAAAAAAAAAAAAAACAATGAAAATTTACACACTATTTTTTGATAAAAAAAAAATTTTTTTGTTTTAATTTTTTGTAAAATATAAAAAGCCAATATTTCTTTACTAAACGGTAATTACAGTGTTTTCTTGTCTAATAAAACAACTAAAGAGATAAAAATTTTTCTATTTATTACTCTTTTCACTGCTTTGAAGAGGTGGAAAACGAGAAGAGTGGAGTGGAAGGTGAATACAAGGTCAGCGGGATAACGAAATCAGTATAGTATAATAGCGGTTACTGATTCCAATGTCTAAACCGTATTTCCACCTTAGCATACAGTGTTTTAGTTTTCAAAAATTCTTTTTTTGAACTCTTTTTTTTGAACATGTTTTTCCTTCTCAATCACAAATTTGTACATCTGTTGAGTACTATGAAATGATTTAATTGTTAACATTTTCAATTTGCAACCAGGCTTCAATTGAAAAGATTTGGAAAAAAAAAAAAGTACATTGCGAAATAAGGCATGGCTATGCAGAAGAAAGAACAAATTGATTAAAAATGGAAAAACTTGTTACTGTACACAGAAATATGACGTTAGCAAAGAAAAATCTAGTTAGTAGCGGATTTATGATGCTAGGTTCTGGTCTATTAGACAAGATTCATTGCTTTTGCTGATGTCTTTTGATTTTTTAAAGTTTTTCTTTCTTCAAATGTTTTTCCACTCCATTTACACAAACGCGTATTGGTCGTTTTAGTCTTGACCTTTGACAGACGAATGATATCGCTTAGCTTTCGTTTTTCTTTTTCCATTTCATCTTCTATCTACCAATTTATAAGTCACATTCTCGTAAATTTGCTAATGCTTTATTGTCTTAATTGTAAAAAAATTTTTATTATTGTTATTACTGCCATTATTTTTAAATAATTACCGTTTTAAAAAATTTTATATTTAGAATCATCAAAACTAAACAACAAAGCTTTGATTATTGCAGCTAAAGATGGCAATATTTTTTGGCCTAATTGTGATATTTGATTTGATCAAATTGTCTTATGAACATATGGTAGTGGTTGATGACGGTCAAATTGTTAACTTTTTTAACCTGTCAACCAGGTTGCCATTGGAGTCAAATTGTAGATCCGAATTAATTAAGGTTAAATCTTTATTGTTTTATCTGTGGTATTTTCTGTTTTACAATTTTTCTTAACAGAATGTGTTTTAAAGAAAAGAAAAAGTTTTTTTCTTATTCCTGGTGATGGTTCAAAATATTTAACTGCCAGTCTACAACGATTAAACCGGGTGGAAAATAGATAATGTTGTTGCAGATTTCTTCGCAGTTTATTTCTGGTAAAAATTTGGTTCCTAAATATTCCAATTACTATGAAACATTTTCTGTCGGTAAATACGACGAATTTATTGGTGAAAGTCGTTGGGTGAGCCGTTTTTCTGTTCTTTCCACTTTTTTTTTATAATATTTAAATGACTTCTATTCAAAAGTTGTACTGTTTGAAAACTTTTTTTTTTCAATTATAAACTTCGTAGTGATTTCTGCTGATTTACAATGTACAATAATTTAGTTACACAATTTCTTGGAATGCTTTATGAGTCAAAATGGTTTATCAGAACAAAGAACATACTGTTATGGCTACAATTCAAATCCTGATAGCAGTCAACACGATCAAAATGCATATGGAATCTGTATTCCTTACAAATGTTCTAGTAACCATGAAAAGGTAGGCAATCTTTTCTTCTAGGTTTATACAGCATCTTCTCTGCTGATTACATCTTTCTCACAAATGAATGAACATTTATTTACCAGTTTTAACAAATTTGTTCTTTTCTACACGTAAAATTTTAAACAAGACTAGATGTTTTAGTTCTATGCAAATTTTAATTTGTTAAATGAATTTAGCTGCTGGAAAAATTCAAGACAATTATCACTAATAACAGTGAGCCGTTCGATCATTTAAACTGCATTAATTCGTGGCATGAAAAGCCATGGTATTTATCGGTTGCTCCACTAATGCAATTGTCGTTCAATTTTGTGCTTTTTACGATAATCGCATTTGCTACTTATCACCATCAGAAGTTTGAAAAATCAAGGTTTTTACCACTGTTCTTTTAAGATTTTGCTTTTTGTTTCACTTTTGCCTTTTCTTGTTTTAAAGAACACACAGATCAATCAGTAAAAAAAAAAGTTTGAACAGAAACTTACCGTGACAGATGCATTGTGTAAACTTTGTTTACGCATTTTAAAAAAATATGTAATTTTTAATATACTAAAATTTACCATAACTTTTAGTGCTATATTCAACTTTAGCTTTGTACTTTTAGTGAGAAACTACCATTAAAATTATCAAGCAAAATTACGAGTCAAAAAGCTATTTTATATAGTTGAACTTTTAAGTCAGTGTTTCTGATGATTTTTACGAATAAAATGATAAAATGATGTTAGAATCGATCATTGAATAGCAAAAAAGAATTAAGATAAGAAAATGATCAAATTTTACGTGAGTAACTAATTTATAGTAACTTCTTCTGTTTACCAAGAACCGTGACAATGCGGATATGGGTAGGAAATAAGTGCGGATGAGTGAGGAAATAAAGTGGGCCACAAAAGTCAGGAGTACTAATTATTTCGTTTAAAAGAAGAACGCTACTTTAGTTTCTATAACATTAAATAAGTTTGATCTTTTAACAGACTATTGATATCAAAAATATTATATGCATTTTCTGCGAAACGTAATTTGAAACGATTGGTACAGTTCCCAAAAGATACTGGAGCAACGATAACGTGTCTTTTTGGCTTAAGATTCATCTCGATGATATGGACTCTAATTGGACATTGTTTTGCTTGGATACAAGTCTGCTTTTTCTGACACTATTTTATACTTATAAAAATGGTTACAAAATAACATGCATTTTTTATAAATAATTTGATTGCCAACAAAAAAAATAATGTTACCTTTAGTTATCTGGAAGAATTGTTTAGTCACCAAAAGTGATATATTTGAAATTATTTTAGTTATGAACTTAAAACTAATTTAAGTAGACAGTGAGAAGAACTGTCTTTTAGTTAGTGATAGACACAAATAAATAGTGAGTCTTAACAAAATAAATTTTTTTTGAACGATAGTTACTTTTTTTGGTATACAGCAAAAAATAATAAATAAATTAAAGAAATTTTTTGGTAAAAATTAATAATCCTAGTTTAATAAATTTAATTATTACAGGCATATATCGAAAATATTGAAGAATTCAGAAGACATATGACAGATGATTGGACAAATTTATGGATTACAAACTTCACTCTTGGTGTTGACACATTTTTTGTGATAAGCGCAACATTGACATCTTATTCCTGGTTTAGAAATGTTACAAAACATAGTTGGTATTTCATCTTATTTTGAGAAAGAAAAATTTTATTGCTATTTGGTGCTTTATATAGTGTACCGTAAAACTTCAAAAAGTAGATTAAATCGTCGATAAAATTATCAGTTTTTTTTGGGAGAAGGTTATTGAAATTCTGCACTATCTACTTTCCAGATAAAATAATAACTTGGAAATCCTGGCGTTACTGGTTGGCATTCTATCGACATCGTTTAATAAGACTTTGGCCAGCCTATGTGCTCAGTTTAACAGATATCACCTACTGGTTTTCAGCAATGCATAAGCATGCAATGTGGCCTCCATCAGATCCAGCAATTCAGTGCCGGCAAACCGGGTGGCAGAATCTTTTGTTTCTGAACAGTATTTTCACTAATGACTGTATAAGTTGGACTTGGTAAACTTTTAATTTGTTTATTTTTTGTACGATAAAATAAGTAACCATTATGATGACTAATAGGTGAGCAGAAATATTAGTTTGAAACCTAGACCGAATCAGGTATTGCTATAATATAAAAATAAAATCGCGGTATCATAAGTTTGGAACCTTGAAACCAGTGTTGAGAAGCATTGATTAACATAGTGGTTTTTCCACAATAACATTTTATAATTGAGTAAAACAAGGTGAATGTATCTTGCTCATAACTTTTCAAAATATATAATGATCAAAAACTTATTGACCAGTTTTAACTGTCCAATGGGTTTAATTAACTTTCTTTGCAATAATAGAACTTTTTAGTAATGACTGCCAAAGTAGTGGTATCTGTAAAGACAGGAAAATTTTGAGCTAACATTGCCGGTAGCTTAATTAGCAATATTTATTAAGATCTCTGCATTGATTAGAATAATCACTTAAACTTCTGGTAAAATTACTTTTTTGACTGATGCCTAAAATTTTCTTAAAAGTCATGTTATTTTTGCCTAGAAAATTTGTTTCTGAGGCACATTTAATATTTTATAGGTATATGGGAACAGAATTTATCTTTTATCTTCTGTCACCAATATTCCTACTTGCATTAAACCACTCGGCAGTTTTGGGTCTTATACTATCACTGACAACAATCGGCGCATCAAACGCTTTGAAAGTATTTATACTGGTCAAAAATAATTATCCAGTAGTGCCTCTTAATTTTAGAGAATCAAGTGTTTTCAGTGGAAGTTTTATGGAGGTATGTTAAGTAAGATTTTTTTGTACAACTGTTTACTATCTTAGCTCTTGAAATAAAAATCTTTTTGACAAGTGAGGAGTTTTTGCTTGTTGAAGAGTCACAAGTATCATAACTCTTGCAAGTGGAAATGTCGTATAAAAATGAATTACTGCTGTTAAAGATAATTAAAGATAAGGATTTTCAGAATGCCGTTTATTTTTACTTAAACTTAACACTTTTGTGGTATAATTTTAGCAAGTCAATAGTTACTATGTAAAGCCTCAATATCGAATATCACCATACATTATTGGATTACTTCTCGGTTACGGTATGGTCAAAGTGCAAAAGGTTCAGTCCGAAAAGAAGCACTCCTTACTGTTCCAGTTCACTGCTTGGCTTGCAGCTGTTTCACTTGGTTGTTGGGCAATGTTTGGCCTCTATCCAACGATGCTTGTAAGTTCTTTAGAGCCTTCTTTAGAGAATTTACTTTCTGATTAGATACTGTCCAAAATGTTCACTGTCAATTATTTATTTACTGTTCTTCAAGAAACAAGATCTTATAGAAATGAACATATATCGGCATTATTAACAAGATTGGGAAGAAGACGAAATTTCCATCTGAACAACACAACAATACATTAAACAGCGTTAACAAAGATACCAAAAAAAAAACTAACTATATTATTCTATTCAAGTTTATCTTCAATATCAACAAAATTCGCTAACACTTTTTAAAACTTTTTTTTTTCAAAACCATCTTTACTCTTACGCAGTCTTTTTTATCGGCAAGACATCACTTCCTTAAAATTTCTTCATTATTCGCTTTCAAAATCTTTATCTCTATACTTCTTTTATCGCTATCATTAGGGAACAGTTATTGCAGAAGTGCAAAAACAGTAAACTTAAAGAAAATATATTATTTAACATGTAGTCGAACATTTAACACAATAATTATTGAAATAACAAATTGAACTGGAAGTGTTATTCTTTATTTTAAAAACTTTGCAAAAAATTTTGTTTAATTTTGCCAAATACTGTTCTAAAATCTTGATAAGTCTGACTTTTAAAACTTTTATCAATGCTTATAAACTAAGTTTTTTAATTGGTTTGAACACATAGTATGGCAGCTGAACTTCATGTAAAATTGACCTTGTTACTGCTTTTGTAAAACCTGTTTTATCTTTCAACACATCTTTCTATAAAACACTACTAATTTTGTATAGGTACTTTGAAAAACTTTTTTTTTTATTATTGTTTTGTTCTTTGTTTTTTTGTTTAAATACTTATCTATCGCTTGCCTAAAATTACATCTATCAAAACATTTCTCAAAAAATTTTTTGTTTTTTGTCGAAGATTATCTCTTGTTACAGGCAGGTCAAGTTTCTTATCGGTTTATAACTGCTGGAAAAGAGTTTTAGAAATATAGATGAAAATACTGAACAGTGCTTTGAATTTAATATTTCACAGGATCTAAACATGCCGGTGATCAATTTGGTTTATGGAGCAACACACCGAACTTCATGGGCATTATTTATTGCATGGATCATATATGCTTGCCATAATGGCATTGGAGGTGTTGTGAACACAATTTTGAGCTGGTGGCCACTTTTACCACTTTCTTCTCTTTGCTATTCGGTACTA